CTGGATGGACAGTGGCTGTAGTATCTGGATTCCCCCCATCCAGCTACTCACTTACTTACATACTACTACTGCTTAGTACACTTGCATGTATAACGCACATACCTCCAGCAGATATCACACCGACATCCACCCCGTACCATGGTCCTTCCGACCTGGCCCTGGACTTGGGGATCCCACCGGGCTCGTATACTTACAACAATACAGTCCTTAACAATCCACCAGCAGGCAAGCAAGCAAGCAAGCCATGTACGACGTGCTGCTACTGCAAACCTTCCTTGTCCCACTCTACCCGATACAATCCATGCATGACTATACATATGTATAGGTACATGCATACATACATACATATACACATACATACACACATACTAACATGCAAACGCGACGTCGTTTTCGTGCAATCAAGTCCACCACCGCGCTGTACCTGGTTCAACACTCACGACTGGCTCGCCCCAAGCTTGGTCAATCTGATACCGCCGATCCGCTTCCCCGATCCGCTTGGGATGATGTGCAGCAAACGCCTGTTCAAATCACCATCAAAGCTCACAAAAACGGCCATGCTCACTATCGTTTTCTTCACACCGTTTACTTTTTTCCCCCGCCCCCCCTCCCCTCTCTCTCTCTTTCTCTTTCGCCGGATTTGCATCCACATTTGCCATGTCCCGATTGCGCCAAATCGGCCTTGATTCGGAGGCACACATACATGCTTGGGGGCTTTTTGTTTTCCTACTAGTAGTTTTCACACCTTTTTTTTCTTGGACGTGTACGCTTTGTATGCACAATTGTATCGATATACCCTCTACACACACACCGGAACAAGGTATCGGGCAAATGCACACCGTCCAAATACCATGTCAATGCCGCCCCTACCAGGGCACTTGGTGTGTATGTGCGTCCAAGCATCAATCACAAATCCATCCATCCATCTCTCTATCTCGCTCGCTTACCACGGCAAATATCTATTTATTCCTTATCCTGCATTGGGTTACAATCCACGCCTCTGCCCCGGATTGTTTTTCGAATCCGATTTGGTGCGTGCACCTCCTTCGTGGGGGACGATTTGAAGCCAGGCCCCAGCGCTTTTTTTTGCCCAACTTGGCCGCTAGTAGTAGTTTACTTTCTTTTATCGCATTGCCCATGGGTAATTTGCAGAGCGCACACAACTCATCACAATCTCGTCACAGTACCGTTGACGAATCAAAAAAACAAGCGCGCACACACACACAAGTCCCAAAGGCAAGTTTCAGATAGGTAAGTGTAGATAGAAGTGTTATTCAATTCTCATTCGTGATCGCAAACTCCAACTGTGGATGGATGGATGGTGTGGGGGGTATCTAAATAAAGCTATATAAAGGTGTTTTGCATGCCGAGCGTTGTAATGCGTGGGTTGTATGCGGGGTATCTAAGAAGGCATAAGGATGCGGAAGCGAAAATCTAAGCCACACGAGAAGGTTCGAAAAATAATAAAAAATTCAAACCAGAAAAAAACTCTCGCAAGTCCCGTCTTCGCTGGGAGGGGAGGGGGGCGGTGAGGGTGGGTGGTGGGGGTATATCCAGAAACACGCTTGCTAAAAAATAAATAAAAAACAATAAACAGAAAAGAGACGCCGGATGTAAATGCCCGAATTTCCCCTTTCGCTATGCTTTCCCACAAGGGTTTCCCCGAGGTCCTTGTCCTCGATAATAGGAATAAAACTCCAGCCCCGGCGTTGCCGCATAAAGATGCAAAAAGAAGACATGCGGTGGCGAGCTGGAATGTTCCTGTTCCATCTCTTTCCGTCGTGATTCGACGAGGGCTCGACTGCGGTCGCAACGGGCGGAGCGCCAGTCGAGCCATGCGTGCACAGTGTGCACTCTGCTATTGGGCGCAGCATGGGCTGTGCCTAGATGTGAGGCACTGCCACACCCTTGACAAGGTGGCAAGGGTTGCGGCGGTGTGAGAAATGGAGGCACCGCCTGTCGCGCGTCAAGCGGTACACGTCTTAGTAGTAGTAAGAGTAGTAGCAGCAGCAGCCGAGGCTGATGGGGCTGCACGTGATGGTGGCTCATGTGACTTGAGCGGCGCAGGTGGTAGCGCGATGTGCACGCGCGCGCGTGCGCGTGCAAGTGTGACGTCGATGGTTGTCAAGAGCCGACTGATAAACATGCATCAGAACTGCGGCGTGACTGGGCGCAGTCATGACGACTTACGATAATAAGAACGATTATCGCTCAGCAAGTCATGGTGATGGTAATGATTGCTCATTCAACTTGCTCGGGTGACTCGGCGATGGGAGTCATTGGCTTGGAGGTGCGGCGCTGCTTGCGGCCACTGCTGCTGCGGCGGCGCTCGCTCTTGGGCTTCTTCTGCGCGTACAGTGGAGGCAGAATGGGAAAAGCCTGAGCCATGGGGGGCACACGGGGCGGTGCTGGTGCCTCCTCGAGGAGTGGGCAGGAGAAGTCGTCGTCAAAGTCCTCGCCAAACAGGTCCGCATCGCTAATGTAAGACGATGGTGGACTGCGGTGGTCGAGCGAAGGACCGGTTGGCCATGATGGATAGGCACATGACGAGCCGCGGGTGGAAAAGGACTCGGTCGAGTAGGTGCTGTAGAGGGAGTTGGTAGGCGACGACATGTTGTTTCTTGGCGAGATGCTGATGGAGATGGACTTTGAGGGCGACGAGGCTGGTGATGGATCGAAATGCATTGTGGATTGTAAATTGTGGATGGTGAGGTGTGTAGGGGGGTGGGTCCTGTGTATATAGAGACTTGCGGGCACTTTCGGCGCTAGATGGTTACTGTGGTTTTCGTGATTTTTTCGTCAAGCAACGTGTGCCGGCAACTGGACCGAGGGCGCGGAAGCTTGGAAGCGGGCTGATGATGTATGACGCCGATGTGGATAGGCAAAACAAGGTTGCCGGTACTAACAGGGTAGCGTCGGGCGTCGTATCGGAGAGCGAGATGGGAAGGGTACGATGTGGCGAGCTGGGACCCAAGGTAGTAGTTGGTGGAGGATGCAGAGCAGAGCGGGTGCAGGTGGGACGGTGTGGGCTGTTATATGTCGCAGCTTCTACACAGACATAGACATGTGCATCTACACAGACAGGCACACACACGGAGGGGTCAGGCGTTCGAGTCAGGCAAAGCAATTTGCAGCGTCGCGGGCGAAGATCAGAGGGCGGTCTGGCCATGGGGAAGGCGGAAGGGTTGTTCCATATATCTGCCCGTGTGAGAGTTTGTTCCCTTATTGCGCCTTTCGCTCCGGACCGCGCTGAAAACGCCTGGCTGGCCTTGGGCGCAGTGGGCAGTGTGTGATTTGCGTTTGGGGGCACGAGTCGGTGAGCGACCGCTCTTTGCAAGGCGACGCCTGTGGTTGGCGGAACCGCGGCCGCGCAGACCGCTCAGACCGCCCCTTTGCAAACACTGCCCAATTCCGGCTACTGCTACCGTCCGCCCCGTTCTCTCCCGGCTGCCTACAACACACACAGACACACACTCTCTCTCTCCCACGCATACATGCACATGCAAATCCGCCCGCCCGCCCGCCGTCAGTGCCACCCCTCTACGCCCTGCGACGCCAGAAGAAAAAAAATCAAGAAAAAAAAAAGAAAAAGACTAGGAAAACCTCCCTATCCACCACGCCTGTGCGGGCACATACATGGGCATGGGGGCGAGCGACGGGGGTGGCGGTGGGGGGACTGCCCTGCGAGTGTGTGTATGTACGCAGTATGTATGGGTGTGTAGTGTATGAGTGCATGTGTATGGGGGTGTGTGACAGTGACAGCGGAAACAGCGCCCACGACTCATCTGCACGCCACGCCCGGCTCCTCGCGAGGGCATATGCGGATAAGATTAGTGGTTTTGCCGCATGCAGTAAGGGGCCAGACAGAGGATCATCTCGGGGATCATGGCAGAAGCAGAAGGGAGACCCTTTTTGCCCTCGTTGCTCGTATCGGTGTGTATACTGACTCTCGACGCCGCCGCCGCTGCCTTCACCCGCCGGCTTCTGGCATCAGCATGGGCAAAAAAGGAAGCACAAGCACACGCCCCCGGCTGTCTGTCCGCCTCTCCGCCCTGCGAGTACGAGCGCCCTGCTGCTGCCCAAGGGCGCGAGGGCACAGAGGCCAATGAATTTAATCCGTCGTATGCCATCGCGTCCCGCTCGCCTGGTGACTCAGATGCGTGGGCGTGGGAGGCGCCCTGGGCTGGCTGCTGGCTGCTGGCCTCGGTAGGTGACTCGGCTGGTTGTGCCAGCTGCTAGTGTATTGTAGCCACCCACGCAGACACATGTCGAAACACTCGGCCTCGATAAAGCTTCTCCATGTCTCACGGGCCAGGGCTGACCAACGACCTGCGACCTCCTCGCCTCCCTGGGTGCCGCAATCACATGCAGTTGCATGGCCGATCAAAGGGTCCAGTGGAGAGATGGATGGTCGCTCGTCGTCTCTAGCCTGCGGGGTCTGTCACGAGCACGCAGCGAACCAAACAATGTCTACACTTGGGCGCAGGTGCACTCTACTGCTACCAGCGGATACTATAGGTGTAGAGTCGGCAGGTCCTTTTTTTGCCAGGCGACACCATATCCATATATGTACCTTGCCACCGAGTCGCCGTGGAACAATACTTGCCGGGCCGACATGTGTCGCTGACACTATGCACGCCATAAGCACTCGCTGGGGGCTCAGCCGAGTTGCCCTTGTACTTACTGGAATAATAAGCCCGGCCCAGCGAAACCCTCCGCGGCCACCATGCTGATGCGGATGCCGAGTCTGGGCTGGGACACAATACTCCGAGAAGAGTATATTGTAGTCTATGTAGTAGCGGTCGTACCATGCATGTGTGTGTGTAGTAGTGCTAGTAGGTAGTGCAAGTAACAGAGGTGCGGACGGCTGACCCACAGCCCACGGGGCCCCCCTTTTCGCCTGGCGTTGACCCGCAACATTTGCCCAAAACATTTGTTTCAATCAGCAGCGTTCAGCCATCAGCCCTGTGGTGCTATATTCAGCCTGTAGTGCAGACGCAATGCCACAAAGGCCCGTCCTCGATGTCGACGGTTGTCCCGGACGCGGCCTGCCTGCCTGTTACTATAGCCGTTTTGCCTGCATCCGGCGCGTGGCCCTTGGGGTCGTCCTGTGGTGCGTGCGCGCCCGTGCGGATCTGGGGATGGTTCTTCCATCTACTTACATCCAAAAGCTGCTCCCATCTCCGCTTCCATTCTTCCATGGAACCGCCGCTAGAACGCCGGTCGTGCGCCTCGCCTCGAGCGCCCACAAATACTTGCATGCACACACACACACACACATGTCGATGCTCTGGGACCTAATTACTCGTTCGCCGGCTCAAAGTTATTCTAGAGCCACCAATACTGCTACCGCAGGTGTAGGTTGGGCCTTCTGCTACGTTGCCTGCCACACCTGGGGCATCTGGTGCGCGTAGTGCGGCGTCTATGTTTGGAAGGTGCGGCCAAAAGGGCAAACCAAACCTTGTGCCTCGTCTCCTCACCATGTGCATCTGTCCTTCCGCGGCACCATAGCTCCGTTTCGAGTTTCGCATTTCGGGAGCCACATGCAGACGCCGACGCCGACGCCAGACGCGACAACCGAAACAGAAGCAAATGCAGGGTCTCTGGTCTGTACTTACTCTGTACCCTTCTTCCCGTTCCCCCAGCAAACTCCAGCTCCACCGCCAGCGTCATGAGTGTGAGCCGACAAAGTAACTTTGCCGCGGCCCGTCGTCTGTTCCGCGGAACGTTGTCGTCTGTCCCCCTTCCCTCTCCCCTCTCCCCTCTCCCTGTTGCTCTGCCCTTCCCCCCTTGGCGTATGCGATGACGCTGCCTGCTGCTCTCAGTCGCAATTTCACCGACATGGCTCCGTGCTGCAGAACATGCAGTCCGTGTCTGAAGTTTCTGTCGACTCCCCACTTGGCGTCCGACCAAGGCGTGCACTCGAGTGGACCAGAGTGCATCATCGTGCTGCTGCCCTAGAAGCTTTTCATCGAAGGTCGACAAGTGGGCCGGCCAAAAAGTCCCTGCCTTCGCGCTGGCTGGGAAAAACTCGGCCTCCGATGTGGGCACACGTGCAAGGCCTGCGTCTCCCTCTTCCGATCAGTTTTCGTTGGGCACTCTGCGACTCATGTGGCTGCGCATTGATTGGCCCACAGCCACTGGCGAAAACCGGCCGGGTGCTGTGGCTGTGGAGCTGTGGTTGCACGCTGCTGTTCGTCTTGATGCGCTTGAATACTACTAGACATGTCCTGCGTCGTATCCATCCCGCTCGGGTGGAGACCAGCTTGAATCAACAATAACTCGGGCACCATATTTCATTTCAGAATTTTTCTTTCGCAAAAACAGGAAGGAAAAAGACATGCAAGGCGCGCCAGAAGAAAGCACATCATCCGGCCCTTTAGTGAAACCAGCCTCTCTGTTCATGGCAACCCCACGCGGTGCTGATTTACTTGCCTATTTGGGAAGGAGAACCGCCCACAGCATTGCCAGGCAGCCGCTGCTGCCCTGCGTCTGTATGGTGGCACAACAAACCGGCGGAGCGGAGTCTAGGCTGTATACACCTACACTCTACTGCTACTCCGACACTCTACTTACTCTCCGCCCGTGACATTCACCCGGTGGTTGCACACGGAGAATTGTTACTGTGAGTGAGCATGTGCACGCGCGTAGTCTGTACGAACGCATTGCTCCAACTAAATGCCCCGGCAAAACATTTTGCTACCAACAATGTCGACCCGTGTGGGTGGTCATTTTCTCCGCACTCGGCTTTGCGACATGGCATTTTCCGACTTGTCGTCTTTGCCGCGGTAGGCAGCTCACTCGCACCCGGAATCTTACCGCAGTAGTACATGCCAGATGGCGGGGTATTTGTTGCCTCTCAAACCATCAATAAGACGATGATTGACAGTCAGTAACCCCCACACCCTAACCCCCCACACATAAGCATCCCTCGCCACGAACCAGCGTAAGTGTGTATCAGCAGAACAAACATGCATCTTGCGACAAAGCGAACCCCTCTTCCTCTGCCGCCACCATGAAAACAAGCAAAATATCGCAACACCGGCTCATCGGGAAGGAAAAAAAACAACACAGCCAAACTCCCCCCAAGTACCGATCGATCGATCGATTGCATACATGCAAGCCTGTTCCCAAAACGAACACTCAACATATCAAAAACAAGACAAAAAAGTTGTCAAGAAAAAAAACACGAGTGCTCGATTAGGCCTGCAGCGGGAAAGCACTAGGAGCGGTGAGTCACCGCCATATTTTTTGTTATCTCGAAACGCAAGGTCAACGCAAGGCATGCAGCATGCAGCTTTTGTAATGCATTAGTCGGGGCGGCAACAGCAGCAGCAGCATGATGCGGTCTGCGGTCTGCGGTCTGCGGCATTCCCGCTTGTGGCGCATAAACAATGAAACACACACACATAATCACATATTAGATTCAGGATTAAGATTCTCCCAATCCTGGTAACCTCAACTGTTGAGGGGGATGATGTGTCATTTGCTAGGGGGAGTAAGCATCCCAGGTGTAAGGCGCGTGGGCAACAATGAGCAGCTACTATCGTGGTGTGTTCAACAGGGGGGGGACGAGGAGTCATACTTACATATCAGCAAACCTTTGTTTGCCTTATTCTTTATTGTGTTGTCCAACGCTGCCAACGCTGGCCCTGTTGCGCTGGAAAAGGCAAGTTCCACGAAAAGGAAAATGATAAAAATAATAATAACAAGGGGATTCTGAAGATGCCCATGTTTACTGGGTTATCTGTCATCTTACGTGCTGCTCCGCTCGGGTAAGACAACCACAGCATTTCCCTTCTTTTGTTTTGTTTTTCTTTTTTTACTCCTGGGTAATACCCGATTATGCAGTAATACGAGGGTTCAGCACGGTCCTAGACTAGACTAGTATTGTTCATCCTCTTTGCTCCACAACATACATTGTGTGTGTGTGTGTGTTCTTTGCATCTCGTCGTCCACCATCGTTTCGCAAGGAACCGCTGCGCCACGCTTCTCGCTAAGTAAACCGATCTCCTCTCTTTCTCGCTACCAACACTCGCCCCCGCCCCCAGGACAAAAAAGTAACGCATACATACCGACAAAGTCCGATACCGCGGCAGTCGAATCTCTTGGCGAGCGGGGAAAGATCGGGTACCTCCTTCTCACTTTTCCTTGGCAAGCCCGGGGGAAAGAAAGAGAGAAAAAAAGTAAACGGTTAGCTGTATACAGAAGAGAGAGAGCGAGAGCGAGAGAGTGTGGAAAACCGGGGTACTGGGGTACCCGCCGCACACACACACACACACACATACACCCGGCTTACTGTAATAGCTACGAGGTGACGTCATCCACAGCTGAATACGTACTCGCACCCATCTCCGTATTTCCTATCATGTATAATCCCCTGTCGCTTTTCTCTCTCCTTCTAGTCATTCCCCCCCCCCCCTGTTTCCTTTTTTCCTTTCTCACCATGCGCCTTTCTCTCTCTCTCTTTCGTGTCACACCTAAGTCCCGCGCAACTAAGCTCTTTAAGTACAAGGGATGCTGTTATGATTCAAGGAACGGAGAGAAAGAGAAAGAGAAAAGGAAAAAAGAGATAAAGAGGAAGAAGAAGGGATGGGGCGGCTGACGTCACGTTACACACAACTTTCATCCATCTTCTTTTATCTACATTTTATTATACTCCGAATATATATTACTATGTAGTTTACTTACTATCGGTATCATACCCGTTATAGGAGTAAGGGTAAAAAAGAGTAGAGTATCAAGCAATTCCCCCTTCCTTCTCCCCTTCCCCTCCCCGGATCCATTCCATTCGGAGCGGAAAAGAATAGAACAGAAACACCCCGAACTTCGGCCTTCCCATCGCACTTTCTTTCTTTTCCGCAAGCAATTTTGCTTATCCGTCTTTTAAAGTAGGGTGGGGGTGGGGGGGGATTTCCATGCATTATCCGGCCCTCCTCTTTTTTTTTGCCTTTCTCGTCTTTTCGTATCTACTGTTTCGTTCCGTTTCGTTTCGGCCCTATTCTTTGTTACTCCGCAAGAAAAAAACTAAGCACATGGCGCCGAGATAACAGTCTTGAGTCCCTCTCCCGCCATCCCCACTATGACGTATAATTTTTTTGAATGTGGCTCTACAGATGGGGACGGGGGAGGGGGGTCAAGATGATGCATGACATCTAGCGGCTGGGTGATGGTCAAAACGGTTGCGGTAGGTATTATCCACTGCGGGGAGGGGAGAACAGGGTGTTTGTGCTTTGCCACAACAACAACCCCGGCTGGGTGGCAACGCTCACGAAGTTTCCATTCCTGGATGTGGTTTCGTCATAATGGAGTTTTGCTGGTTGGGGTTGTGGGGTAAGGGGGGCCCTTGTTGAAGATCGAGAGAGAGAGAGAGAGAAAAAAGAGAGGAAGAATGACGACACAGGGCAAGCATGTGTGCATGTATACGTATGTGTGTGTGTTTTCAGATTACACGTACTACTCCTACACTGACATGTCCAAAAAGGAAAAAAAATCCCCTCCCTAGAATGGGGACTGACTGGTTTGCCAACTCTACAGTTCTGAAGCCTTCTTTCAGCTCTCTGCTGCACTTCCGGCCTTGACCCAGTAGCCGTCCCAGTTATACTTGAGCACTTCGTTTCCCCAAGATGTCCAACCGCTGACTAGGTAGCGAGAAAACACTTCGAGCGCAGTGTAGTCTGCCGGATCCACTAGATAGGGTTCGAGCAAGGCCTTAAGACAAGGCTTGCGTGAGTGTACGTCTGGCACGGCGGCAACGACTCTGCGTTTGACCACCGGCGCATGCGCCATGCGTGTCCACGAGTTCGGTGCTGCACGCCCCAGCAGCAAGATCTCGTAGGGCTTGCGCATGGGGCTGTCAATGTCAAACATGGGCTCGCCTTTTGTCGTCGTCTTAATCCAGATCCATTCTTCTATGAGTCCTACGTTCCACGCCTCGAATAGTCCGCCAGGACCGAGCACATGCTTCTTCAAGGAGGGCTTGTTAGTGACCCAAACGCCCACCAGTGCGTTGTGCTCCAGATACATGTCGAGATGCATGTTGAGTAGCATGCGCTTGAGGTACGGCATACCTCCCACCTGCTCGTAGGCGCCTTTGCGCTTGGCCGACCGATTAGGCCATGGCGGGTCGAGTAGTACAAGGTCGAAATGCCGTGCGAGGGAATACTCGTCTGTGAGTCGACGAAACGATGAACGGAAGGCATCCGAGGCAGTCGAGTCGCTCAGAAAGAGCGTGGCCCGCGGCGGGATGGTGAAATGGTAGTCTTGGGCCGAGGAAGCAGATTGCACCGTTTTGTCAGTGATTGTGGCTTCGAGTGAGTGGTGGTTGGGATTGTGAAAGGTACATGTCCATGATAGTGTTTGTGTCTCTTGGGTGGCGGTATCAGCGGCCTGTGTATTACTTGCAATCTCGGGTGCAGGACGGTACGACAAGATGCATTTGTCTGTGACTGCAGCCGAATCTGCGGGCTCATCTGCTGCACCGAGCGAAGCCATCATCTGCTGCAGATTGAAAGCCATGTCGTCTTGCTCGGCTTGACTCCATGAGGCCCACTCTCGTATGCGCGACTCCAGATTCTTTTCAGTGGGGCCGTCCAGATCCATGGCCTCGTCTTGTGCACATGGAAACCTCTGGGTCATGAGTTGACGGCGCATGCACCATGGCCCCGAGACGTGTGCACGAATTTGGGCGAGTGCATGCTCAACAAGAAGGTTATATCCAGAATCGTCAAGATAGAGGGACTGCAAATCATGTTCATTCTGCTGCGTGCTGTCGCTATCATGGACTTTGGCCGCTTTCGCCTGTGATTTCTGTGTCTTGGGCTGGTAGTCTTGTTTGAGCTGGATAGGCTCTTCTAGAGGCGCAGTCGACAAGAGGACGTCAGAGCGGTCGCCTTGAGCTGCCACGATAGATGCAGGTATATCGACCAGAGTAATGTCGGCGTCGACATTCTGGAAGATGATGGGGTTCGGCACGTGAGAGGCCAACTGCGCGGAGGGAGAGGCGCGTGGTGGTGGTTGTGTGGAAAACATATCCGATGGGTAGCGTCGGTTCGGATGCGGAGCGTCGAGTGTCTGGGCGGCCGGAGAAGACAGAGCAGCCTCGGCAACGTCATTGCCGTGGCCAAACCATGCACACCACACAATCACGCCCGCTTTTCTATACTAATCACACCCTGCCTATCCTTGACCACAAACACCCCCTCATGTCGCGGTAGACCATTCACGCCCGTTTGGAATGTCCACGCACCTCCTCCGCCATGACGGAAATACGCCGAATATCATGACAATGACTGCCGCGCAACCCTCCCGCGCAACCTCCATCATCTCCAGCCATGAAGCCGCTCCGCCACCCTCGAGGGACGAGCAGACGAATATGAACAGCAAGGAAAAGAAGAAGACGGATAAGAAGAGCACCGAATATGTTATCAAGAGCGGACTGGCAGGTGGCTTCGCCGGATGTGCGGTATGTTCTTCAGGCCCTATACGTTCGACCCTCTATGGCATCTGCTAATGTGCACACGACAGGCCAAGACGGTCGTAGGCCCCCTCGACCGCGTCAAGATCCTATTCCAGACGCGCAACCCCCAGTTTGCTAAATACACAGGCTCCTGGGCTGGTTTCCCTGAGGCCATGCGTGACATCTACGCCACCGCTGGAGTGCGAGGTCTGTTCAAGGGCCATTCAGCCACCCTTCTGCGCATCTTCCCTTACGCAGGCGTCAAGTTTCTCGCCTACGAGCAGATACGCGCCCGTGTCATTAAGAACAAGGCGCAGGAGACGCCCATCCGCCGCTTTGTCTCAGGTAGCTTAGCCGGCATGATGAGCGTCTTTTTGACATACCCGCTCGAAGTCATCCGCGTGCGCCTCGCCTTTGAGACCAACGAAAACGCACGCAGTAGTCTGGCCACCATTGTCCGCAAAATCTACTCGGAGCAGGCCCCGCGCGTCCACCGCCCAGAAAACCCAATCACCGCAACTGCCACGCACCTCGTTGATACCGTCACACCTCGCTCCGGCCTCCCAAACTTCTTCCGCGGCTTCACCCCCACTCTACTCGGCATGATACCCTATGCCGGCGCCTCGTTTCTCGCCCATGACCTCATGTCTGATTTGATGCGCGTACCCTTGCTCGCCCCTTACACCACCTTGCCCAATACCTCGCGCGAAGAAACAAGTACTTCGACGCATAAGCCCGCCCAGCTCCGCTACTGGGCTGAGCTCACCACCGGCGGCATTGCTGGCTTCGTCTCCCAGACAGTCTCGTACCCCCTTGAAGTAATCCGGCGGCGCATGCAAGTCGGCGGCGTCGTCGGTGACGGCCATAGACTGAGCATGCCTGAAGTGACGCGCAGAATTTACCTCGAAAGAGGATACAAGGGCTTTTTTGTAGGCCTTACAATTGGTTATGTCAAAGTTGTGCCCATGGTCGCAGTCAGCTTTTATGCTTATGAACGGGGTAAATATTATTTAGGAATATGAAAATATGAACTTTTTGCCCACGTCCAATGGATGAGAAGCTGTGGTATGTATGATAACTTTTTTCATTCAGTGCATCCATGAATAACAATACCGATCTCCACTTCGTTTCCTTTTACTTGACAACTTTCTTTTCTTTTCAAGCCAGAGAATTAATTTTTTTTTCTCTTTTATCTAGCACAACATGCCTATTTCCACACACCCCCTTTATCCAGAACCTTCAACCATTTCATCGTTTTATCTAGACTCATCGTTGTCCATACTCACATGAATATCGTACAAGAAAACACCATTCCAATCTTGCCCATCATAACCCCCCTCTTACATTTCGCCAAGTCCAACTTTATCCTTAGCTTTTCTTTTTTGGGATCGAAAGCATTCTCCCAGACCTCACACGACCATGATTCCGATGTAACTTTTTTCCTAGCTGAGATAAATAGTCTTTATTCTTATTTCGAGTGGTTTACAGCCCGAAGCTCAGTTTGTTGATGAAGAATAGTGGTGGTAGGTTAGAAGTAGATTAATTAATCAATTTGAGTACGTACGACATTAACTGGTCTGGAGGCAACATGGCGCCCTCTTTGCGTTGAATAGGTTTTAGGGTTCTTGTGAGGTACGTGTAGTATATGTTGCTGTTGCTGTAGTATTAGTGGTGTAGACTAAGCCCCCTTATGTCTACCTTGGATTTTCTTCGTTACTAGACTATGTTGAATAACGCGTAAAGTGGGAATGTTGCGATAAATATGTTTATTGATATATATCGTCTCTTTTGAACCTGTTATCTAATTCAATACTATACGTAGGTAATTGATTCGTCTAAGAGTTTAGTCGTCAATTATATCTTAAGAGTTAAATATTCTTGAGATGATAAATCATTCTACGATAGCTCTTAAAATTAACCCATGTTCATGAGAACAAGAGGATTATGCGTGCAGTCTAACACGCACGGCTTTAGTGAAGTGTCTTAACTCTCTGTCCAACAGTAAAATACGTATCGTTCACACCGAAAAAGATCCAAGATAGGATTAAAACTATCCTTTACTTCATTCATATATTCATCCAGAACATCTACTTCATCGTATCAACCAACTCCCGATACATCCTCTTCAACTCACGCACATCGCCCTCGAGCTCCTCCACCCTCTCCGTCTTCTCGCCCAGCATCTCCAATGCCGTACCTTCTCTATTCTCCATCTCAGACAGCCTCCGTTCCAGGTCCGTCACTTTATCGCCTTGTTTCTTGGCTTCGTCGACTTCACGCATGAGCTTGACGACTTCGTTGCGCGCCTCGTCACGCTGGGCAGTCAGACGCACGACTTCTTCCTTGTGCGTTGCTTTTTCAGATTCTAGACGGCGTACGGCGGCGCTCATGCGCTCGACGAGTTGGACGGAGGGGCCGGCGCCCATGGTGGAGACGCTGACCATGTCGGCGATGGTGCGGTGGGGCGAGGATGCAGTATCAAAGGTGTCCATGTTTTCTGGGTCGAGGGTGTGGATTGAAGGGGTTTCGAGAGGTGGTGCGGTTAGACCGTTGAGACTGGCCATGCTGTAGGGTATCGAGTCTTGTCTTTGGGGAGTTCCGATTTCAGGCGTGCGCACTTTTGAGGTGGACTTGGCCTGTCGCGAGCTGGATGGACGGCGTGAGAAATCATCGAACATGCGCTCTATGGGTGAAAGGGCGGTATCCACGCCGTTCGACGTGGTCCGTGGATTGGGTCTTCGGGTGTGGATACCTAACGGGTCTGGCGAGTGTCTTCGTTGCGCTACCGAAGGCGATTCTGTTCGCAGATAGAGACTGTCACCAGCCAGAGATGGCGTTTGTGATTCTACCTTCCATTTGCTCTTTTCCTCTTCAATTCTTTGTTGCAACTCGGCCTCCCAAATCTTCCTCTCTTTATCCAAGTCAGCGCGCGCATCTTGGGTAGCAGTTTCTGCTTGGGCAAGCTTGGCTTGTAGCTTTTGAGTCGCAGTGCGTTGTTCGTTCAAGTCCTGTTCAAGTGTACGAGCGCGCTCGTTGAGAGTTTCAAGTTCGTCTTCCAGTCGGCGTGCTTTTGAGTTGGCTTCTCTTGCTTTTCGTCTAACCTCGGACTCGCGCTTCGCCGTCTCATCACGGTCTTTTTCGAGCGCGGCAACACGAGAGGTCAAGGTTGTCTCAATGCCTTGCCAGTTCTCGGAAGCAAGCGAGTACTGTGTTTGCAGGGTTTCAATCTGTCGGAGGAGCTTTGCCTGCGAATCACCAGTGGCAGACGAAGTAACCTCTTCAGTCCTGCTGCGAAGAAGTTCCAGCTTGGATTCAAGATTCTGGATGGTGCGTTAGTATCCGTCTGCGTGCTGCCGTAGACTTGACTTACCGCAATCTCACCACGCAGCTCCAGCTCAGCGATCTGTGCCTTTTCCTGTTGGCTTTTGGCTTCGTCCCTAGCAGCTTGAAGTTCCTTCTTGGCACGATCTTCTGCCAGCTTCTTCTCTATGCGCAGATTTTCGATATCCTCCTGCAACGATCTAGTCGCCCTCTTTTCTGCTTCGAGTGCGCCGGATTGAACTCTCTTCTCAGCATCCTCAGCACGCGACAGGGCGTCATTGAGTTGCTTGCGCAGTTCAGATATTGTCATTCCCGCTTCTTCACGCTCTGCTCTGATGGTCTCAATGTCCTTTTCAATCTTGCTCACAATCTTCAACTTTTCCTGCGAAGACTTTTCAGCGGCTTCGGCACGACGTGCTCTTTCTGACTGCTCTGTGATGCCCTTCTCGGCCTTTGTCAATCGCTGCTTCAGCATGGTAATCTCCTTTTCCTGCTCTTGAGACTTGGCGCGCATTTTCTTGATGGTAGTCATGTGCTTCATTTCCGTCTTGGACAGCTTCTGGCCCTCTTCCATGAGGGCGGCAATCTGGGCATCTTTCTCTGCCAACTTCTTGTCCGTGGGCGTCGCGTCTTTGTCCGACGAAGCGGACTTTGCAGATGCAGCAAGTTGCTCTGAAAGATAGGTCAGTTTTGACTGCAGTGCATCGATACGTTCGAGATGTGTGTTGATTTCTTCGCGGTTATCACGCACAGTCTCTTCGTAAGTGTTTTGCAAGAGAGATAACTCTGCTTGGATTTGGTCGGCATCTCTGGGCTCGGTAGGTGGCGCTGGGGGGATTGCGTCGATTGAAGGCCGGGAAGAGATGCTGTCCAAGGACTGGCGGGGCGAGGACGTCTGCGGGGCAACAATGGCGGGTATGGATGGCATGGACATGGTGGGAACGGGTGTGGAGGTTGGCTGGTCTACTATCACGGGCGCAACTGGCGGCGACGGCGTGTCTGGGCCAGGCGTGATGGACGCAGCTGCTTCTCCAGCGGGCTGTGGTGGCTCGGGGACCGTTGTGTCGTCCGCCTTGGAGCCGCCATGCTGCTCTGGCAGTAGAGCAGGGGTGATGGGCTCCGAAGCCTTTGAGTCTATGCTTGTGCGCGATGTGTCGGCAGCTGGGACTGAAGTGCGCAACGCAGGGCTCTCTGGCCGGGAGCCAAGATCGGATGAGGGGCGTGAGTCGGAGCGTTCACTTCCTTTGTTAACGGCTTTGGCGAGACGGTCCTGTAGTCGGGAGTTTGGTCTGCTTCGTGACGGGTTCCGCGAGGCTTCTGAGCCATTAGCATCCACGGAGCTTGCTGCTACCTTGGGCCTCTGGGGCTACCCACCAGTTTCCACCGCCAGCTTCTTGTCCACCCCCGCCGCTTTGTCTGTGCCGTCGGTCTTGGTTGCGCCGTCTGTCGCCGCCGGCTTTGGGCCTGTAGAGCCATCTTCTGCCAGGATAGTGTCGAGCCGCGACTCGAGGCCAGAGAGGGCGTTGTTCCACCAGCCCTTGCCGCTCATGTTGCTCGTTTTTTACTTTTTTTGTTGGTCTACCCGTGGAATGGCAGCGCGTGTCGTGACGTATGGAAAGCGTTGGTAGCCTTCACCGTGCACTCGTTCTTTGCCCGTGGGGGTGCATTGCTCAAGTGCGCAAAGAGGCCAGGCTGGTCGGATGATGGTGGTGGCAGTGATGGTGATACGGGGAATGCGCAGCTAAGACATGAGCCGTCTGGTGCTGCACGCAGGGATGGCGCGAATGCTGGATGCTGCGTCGGCTGCAATTGCTCGTGTGTGTGTATATATGCGTATGCAGTATGGGTTCGACTATATTCGAGTAAACATGTACACACATATGGCCGGCTAACGGGCGCCGTCGTGATTCGTGTCTGTGGCCTTTGCTGACGGGGTCGTCATCATACTGTAGTGCAGCGCCGGGCACCAATCAAACGCCGATTGGCCCGCCTTCCGCCTCCCGCCCTCCTCCACCCATCCCACGCCGTAATGCCGCCCTCCGTCTTGGTCTGCGAGTGATGACATGGGCTGTGTGGATTGCGTATGGACATGTACTGTATGAGTGTGTACGTATTTATGTAGCTGTATAGTCTCGGCCAAGTCTTCCGTCAATCTCTGGTACTACATAAAACTACGTATCCAACTATTAGTACTACACACTAACAGCCCTCGGCTTGGCATCGCCTACCTACCTCCATACTCTCCCGCTCTACTTGTGCTTTTTGACCCAACCCAACCCCCAAGATTGTCACTATTTCCACGATGCTTGCTCCAATTGGCCTAGTTCTTCTATCGGAACTTATGCATCGCCTCTGCCGTCTCTGACCACGTCAGGGCGGCCCTGTCCTATTGCTTTTGCCCATGTCGTTGCTACAAGTCCCGCTCGCTGCTCTTTCACCCACCAACTCCTCCTCAAGTCCATGTCCATATCTCTCAAAATGACACGCGCAGTAAGTTGCCCCATTATTGCCGCCTACCATGACAATTCCACGCCCTAATAATTCCCTAGGCAGTCGGCCAAATGCGCTCCACGGCCTCCATGGCCTCCAATCTGACCCAAGCCCAATCTCTCTGCCGCAAAGCCCACCAAGCCGGCGCAAAAGCCCTCTTCCTCCCAGAAGTAAGCTCTCCGCTCCAATTCCCTCCATCTCACCCTCTTCACGATGGCCAACACTTTTTTTTCTCTTTTTCTCTTAGGCAGCCGACTACATCACCACATCCGGCGGCCTCCAGCTCTGCAAACCAGTCACCACCTCTGAATTCGTCCTCGGCCTGCAAGATTGTGCCAAACAATACAATCTCGCCATCTCCGTCGGCATCCACGAGCCCGTCTCGTCTGACGCGCAAAAAGTGAAAAACACACTCATCTGGATCACGCCCCAGGGAGAAATCGCCCATCGCTACCAGAAACTACATTTGTTCGACATGGACGTCAAGGATGGGCCCCAGATGAAGGAGTCGGATGGCGTCGAGCGCGGCCAGGAGCTTGGCCAGCCCTTTGAAAGCCCCGTGGGAAGGATAGGCATGCAAATATGTTTTGACCTTCGGTTTCCAGAGCCCGCGCTTGCTCTCAGGAGGCGAGGCGCCCAGGTACTCCTATATCCTGCTGCTTTTACTACTCCAACGGGTAAGGCTGGTCATTGGGAAATACTGCTGCGTGCCCGTGCCATTGAGACGCAGAGCTACGTCATCGCTGCTGCCCAGGTTGGAGTGCACGACGACCAGGGCAAGAGGCGAAGTTACGGACACAGCATGATTGTGGATCCTTGGGGCAAAATCGTTGCTGAACTCGGAGGAGACGAGGGTGAAGAGGGGAAGTGGGATGATGAAGGCGACATTGCCGTTGCAGAGCTCGATCTTGATTACGTTGAGAATCTGCGTAAAGATGTGCCCATGACGCGGAGAACGGATGTTTATGCAGATGTTTCTTAGCTAGCTACCGTGTTCACGACTAGCAAAGAATCCATGCAATATAGACACTTTGATAAACAAGAAAAAAACATTAATGTTTCCCCGAAACCCATGATCCACCCTTTACCCTTTGCTAACATCTCACCTGCTCATCCCAAATCCCTGCCCCGCAACAACCACTCCTTCCCGCCCAGAGTCAGATTCGCCAAACGATGCTCCGTACTCTCAAGCTCTCGCTCCACCCTCTCCCTCACACTCCCCACTTCACACCGCATCCATCCCGCCAAACACTTCAGCACCGTCACCCACAAGCTCTTCCTATCCCCCTCCCTCCTCGGCCCCTGCGTCCTCGGCGGCTCAAACCCCCCCTTTGCCCCCTCACACGGCCCCTCCCAACCACGCACCCCATACTCATGATAAAAATTCAGCAACACCACTTCGCAATCCGACCGCTCACGATGCAGCAGCAACGTATCTGACACAAATTCCGGGCCCTCGCTCAGCGCCGCTTCCGCAAAACAGAATTCCAGCTCGTTGCGTAGAGAGAGGTGCTCAGATGACATGGAAACCCCGTATGTGCGCTGGTTGATCCAGCCTGAGCCGTGGTAGCGCGCTGCGAGGGTGGAGTGGTGGAGGGAGAGGTATATAGCAGTTAATGCGTCTTTTTGTAGGGACTCGATGTAGCGTTGTGCGTCACCCCCAGTCTTCTCTTCAAAAGAAAAAAAGTTAGTTTCCGCGTTAATTCATGTTTGTCGTAGAACGGTTGCGTGAAAGAAAAAGGGGGCAAAACTAACCGAGCAACGATATCCGGTGTAAAAGTAAGAAACCAGTGTAGCCCAGAAACACATTGTGAGGTGTGATAGCGGTGAAGTTGTGGGGGGAGCAGAGAGCGTCCATTATGTCGTCTATGATGTCGTAGGTTCGGACGCATGAGGCTAGCCAGGTGAGACTGAAGGCGCCTTGCTCGCATGGAAAGTCGCGTTCGGCGTGGCGAAGCTCAGTCTGCATAAATTGGCGTGTGAGTGATTGTTCGTATGTGCTGAATAGTGCGCGGAGCCGTGGGTGTGCATTGCGAAGAGCAGATATCAGGGCGCCGTTGCTGAAGGGAATGTGTTGGATCGTTTGTAAGACAATTTCTGGGGGTATCCGGGGGGAGACGAGGAAGTTTCGGTATACTGGTAAATCTGGAAAGAATGGCATGGTTATGGAATAGGTTCAGAACCTGAATAGTAGTGTTATGGCTGTATATATCAAGAGAAGAAAGGAACTGAGCTTGGAAGTCAGGCTAGGGAGATGATGGCGACTAAGCGGCGCGACTGCACTGAATTTGTCAAGGGCAAGAGCGGTATGGGTTATCAACGGCTTTTTGTACAGTATTGAGATAGCGAATAGGGCAAACAGTTCGATTGCTACACGGACCGTTACAATGGTTATATACGGCGCTAGTGAAGACCGTGATGGATGAAGGACGGGTACCATGATGGCGGGTTGCCTTTCGCCATAGCAGGCAACCGGTCACAAGGACACAAAGTGACTCGGCGCAGATCCACAATGATGATGTTCATCTTGTATAGTCGGTTGTTGCACACTTGGCCATGGCTTTGATCTACAGTCCGCCTGTACCTGTGCTCAACGCGCTAGAGAAATCCAAGTAGCATCAGATGCAGGCTAGTGAAAGATTATGGCGTAATATTAGGGCCGATGTACAGAACAGGTGGGGGAAGGGGTAATAGTACGTAGGAAATGAAGGAGGAGGGTACTAGTGGGGCTTCGGCCAAACTCTCCCAGCACTCTACAACGCTTTTACCCGGGTATCTTGTAAATTCCGCAAACGAGATGCTACTATATCCACGTGGGCCATGCCAGTCTTACTAGACCAGATCGACGCCCTCCCTCTCCGCTGCTTGCAAAATAAAACTCCTCGTCTTTGCATCTGGCGCCAGATCTAGAGGGACATGGCCGTCATTGTCCTGCTTGTCGAACTCGGCGCCCAGAGTCAAGAGTAGTAGTGCTGCATCTCCGTGTCCCTCGCTCATGGCATGATGCAGCGGCGTCATGCCGTCGACGTCGGTGGCATTGAGGGGGCTTTTGGCGTCTACCAGTGCCTTCATCATAGGTACACTCCCCACTGCTGCAGCGCGATGTAGCGGTAGCTGCCCACGTTTGTCCTTGATTCGCGCCGACGCTGGGGGCTTTTGTGCCAGCAATGTACGGGCGATGTCAAGGTTGGCTTTGGAGGCGCAAAAGTGCAGAGCAGTCTGACCATTGTTATTCTTCGCATTGACGTCGGCATCCTTGGAGAGCAGCAGGTCTACGATTTGTTCGGCGTCTTTCCGTGAGCACGCCATCATCAAGGGAGTCCAGCCGGAACCATCGGTGACGTCGGGATCGAATGACTTTGTCTGCACAAGGGACTGCACAATGGCAAAGTGGTTGTACGAGACGGCCCAGTGAATGGGGAGGCGGTCGTCTGGGTCGCGGAGGGATGCAAGCTTGGGGTTGGCGGCGAGCAGAGAGTCGACGCGGGATGCTGGCACTGGTTAGAAAACCATGGCTCGCCTGGGTGGATGGTTGTTGCGCAGACCTTGGCCTTCTCGACACGCCTCATGGATGGCGTACTTGGCTTTGTATTCCTCCATGGTGGGTTTTGCATAAGATGCTGCCGCGTGCGTGTTGGAGTACCGCCACCAACGTTGGTCCCGCCTCGACCGAGGCTTGAAGAATACTGCCAGGCGGTCAGGTGCTAGCGCCGATGAGGTCATGCATATATTTGAGTGTGTATGTATGTACTTACATTCGTGTACAGGCTTCATCGTGTTGTCCAGAAATACTTCCACTCAAGTAGCTGGCATTGAAACAAAGATTTTGGATAAAGTGACGTTGAACACTAAATAAAGCGGTATTCTTACACAATAGCTCTACAGCAACCACTTCAAAGCTCGCTCTTCCAAGAGTGATCCTCCGGTAGACCCATTTGCCTTTGCTGGAAGTTTAGTATTTTCTGGAGAAATATGGGCTTGACACTCAAGATGCCAATCAGGCTTAGGAAAATCATAAGCAAGATACCCAGGCCAACACCCAAAGCCACGGCATCCCCCTGCCTGCTGACTTTCCTGAGCCACGCCTTTGTGTCTTCGACAGCAAGGTTTTCATCGTATGAACGTCGAACGCTCATCAGCCCAGGAAGTCCGTCCAGAGATCGATGGTTGAACTGCTTCTGGTAGTCTCCCAGTTCTTGTTTCTCTATCATCTTACGAGCCCAGCCTTCCATCGTGTCTCGGGGCTTGAAGCCATTCCCATCATCCTTGTCAGGCTCATGATCGGCAAAAGTAACAGCGTCGCCGACAGCATCCGTGCCAGCAGTCTTTGCATTGGCGATTTGCGGCACTCCGAAACCACAGCTCGTCTGCACTTTTTGAATCTTGAGCACAATAATCGCTCTTACACCAGCGATATCAACATCATCTCCGTTTTCTGTCGACATCTTTGCTCGGATTTGGCTAAAGTACTGATCCCACTTCTCCACCACTTTGCCCTTGCAGAACAGCCGCATGATCTGTGGCTTAGGACCAAACGAGGCAAACATGACCGTCACACGGCCATTTTCGTACACATGTGAAATAGTTTCGCAGCCACTGCCTGTAGCGTCGAGGTAGGCTACTGTGTTGGGTCCTAGAACGGCAAATGATTTTGATGGGTGTCCTTTGGGTGATATGTTGACGTGCTCACCAGCCCACGGGGCGCTGGCGACAAAGAAGAGAGGCTGTTTCGTGATAAAGTCGATATGTTCCTGCGTGAGGGAGGGATAGAATTTGACCATGGTGAGGGCGTGGAGTTATCAAAAGGCGGTCAGGGTTTTTGGGGAGGTGTCGCTGCTGTACAAAGTGCAGTATTGCGGAGGCTGTTGATGGAAATGTGAATACTGCCAGAGACCAGAGTGATGGGGAATGTAAGCACGTTCAAAGCAGACTGCTTATAGACGGTCTTGTCGAAAAGGAACAATGAGGCAGTAGAAGTCCAGTGATCAAAGTGACAACTGTCAACCAACACAGGGCGGATAAGAAGTACCAGTAGCGTGAATCGCCTCCAGAACCAATGGTTGATTGCGTTGTTCTCTTACAGGGGTACGAATTCCAGGAGTTGGCGATTGTCCGTCAGGGATATTCGCTCAGGAAAGATTATAAGATGGTGAAATGCACGGTAGCGGCTCTATGCCTATAACGGATTAGCCTAGGAACTAAGTCGTAGTGGGGGCGGGGCAGGCGCGTCGTCGAGGAATCGCGAAGTTATCGTCACAGGTTGCAACATCACACGTCTAGAACGTCGCCATCATACTCAACATGGTGCTCGCACTAGCATTGAAAGCAGAACTCAATGGGTAAACTTTCCACCCCGCTCATCATTTGACAAACCACTCTACGTACTGAACCCACCCCAGGGTAACAGACCTCCGCCCCAACGACACCGAAGAAGCACCTTTCTTCTATACCTTCAAAGTCCAATGCACGTCATGTCGCGAAATCCACCCCAATTTCGTAACAGTCAACCGGTTTGAGATGAACGAGCAAAGCGGCAGTAAAGGCGAGGCAAACTTCGTATGGAAATGCAAGAACTGCAAGGTTGCTCTACTCACATGCTTATTCTGTTATCCCGCACTGCTGATCCTTTCAACAGAGGGAGCACTCGGCCAACGTCAAAGCTGCGCCCGCATCGTATCCACAAAGTGATCCGCCCAAGATGGTCAACATACTCGAGTTCGACTGCAGAGGGTTGGAGTTCACCGAATTCAAGGCTGAAGGCGAATTCCTTGCCACGGGTATCGAATCCGGCACCAAGTTTTCTGGCATTGAGCTACCGGATGGTGAATGGTATGATTACGACGAGAAAGCTGGCGAGGAGGTCAGCATCACGAATGTGCAGTGGGAGATTCGTCGTGCATGAAGATGTCTAGTGTAGGCTGGTAAATTGGTAGAGCTCTACCCCAACCTATATTCCAAGCCACCCGTCCCTACCCCTACCCAACTCTTAGAAACCAATAAACCTTCCTCCACCCACACTTGGTGCATTATACCCATCTATTGACCTACTCACTAAATCTCTCATACGTACACTATTCGAGGGTACAGTCCTAGAAGTATGAAAGACTGGGAAAAAGACTTGATAAACCCTTTGCATACAGGATGCCTAGCAGCGTAATTTTGCGAAGCTCATTATCTCGATAGCCGCAGGTCTTCGTAGTCTCTCAGATCCGCTTTGACCTCTAGGATCCTCGAAAGATTTCTAGTCTAACCCTACCCATCTTCAGCATCCAGACCCATATCCCGTTAACAAACAGGATATCAAAAAAGCTAAACACTGAGCTGCCTCGAAAGATAAGACTGTGGTATGTTCCCGCGTCGCCCGCATTCAGATGCGCAGTGTAGCGCACAATTGCCCGCAGTAACACGTATAGAAGATTTGACACTAACGAGGGATATAGATACTAACGTGGGCGCATTGTGAGGAGGGAGGGTAGCGAGTTGTGTAGACGCTGAATGGAAAACATAACACCAATCGATCATCCGCCAAATGCGCACAGTGATGTTTGGCAACAATATCGGAGTTACCAAGTTATCGTGTGAAGTGGGCGGGCGCCAAAGAAAGAGAGGAAGAAGCAGAGCGGGACTTTCAACGGTGCGCACGATCAATAGTGATATGAGGGCTAGCTAGATTATTCGGAAAATAGTCTGTCGATCAGCTTTTGCGCTCAAAGCGAAAGAGTAGGTAAGAGGAGATTGAAAGAGGAACTCTCCCAGTTGAAAGCCTATAGCTGCTAATAATGGACAGTGAAGTCCGAACAATCGAAGTCCTGAGGTCGTGGAATATCTCAATCGTCAATGTCGCCTACTTATTGTGCTGTATTATCACGTGATTAGATCGCAGATATATATTGCGATTTCCTTTCGTACGTAGATAGGCACCTTCTTTAATCAATCCCTTGCAGCGATCAATCATCAGATTATTCTATCTACTCGATTGCGGGTCGCCCCTCTGATCTTTTGAGCTCGATCACGTATCGTGCCACAATATTTATAAGAGGAATAATATCACTAATATTAATTATAAAGTCTATAGCTAATACTTTCCTTATGAAAAGTTATTCAAAATTGCGACAAGTTGTTGAATCACTATTAATATATCTTTCTGTAGAACATGGGACACTTGTTACAGGAATGTTCATATTCGTCGGCCACATTGCGTAGGTGTTCGCACAGTGCGCGTGCTGACGAGTGGGTGTGTGCGACGCAGGTGCATCAACTGTTTTGCCATCCGGTCTGGGCTGGACTCTGTTTTATCATCTTTTGCGAGATCAAGCACCCATTTAATTGCATTGTTGCAACCATTGGGACGGCTACATACCTTTTCGATTTGGGGGATCAGGTGCTTCGTACAGCGCGAGAGGTGCACTCGATGCTGCGTGGCTGCCAGCCATGCCATCAGGTTTCTGAATGGTCCCAGCGCGATGCCGTTAACCATAACGGCGCTAATAAAGAGAGATCGGTTGAATAGCTATGACTCTTGAATAAAGTCTTTGCCGCGAGCAAGTTCTTTGCCTAGCAAGACACGAGATGTAATGCGATGCGCCATCTCTGTGAACGTAGGGAAAACTTGGATCACTTTCCATTCGCTCCCGATACCTAGTTCTGCTTCGAGAATGTACTCGGATTTTTCCCCCATGGTTTCGACTAGTGAAGCTACATTCTGATTAGACAAAGGAAGCACGCGATGGTGTCGATGTCAACATACGCAGTTGGGGGGTTGAGATGTTATTTGACAGCACCGGGCATGATCTTCGATCCGTACACATCTCCAGCGGAAACATGAATATTGAAGGCCCCGCTGAAACAATGCGCAAAACTTAGATTGTCTTCGTCTGCTTTGCGGACATCATCAAGATATTCAGGGGGCATCAAAAGGTAATCCCATCCAAAGACCTTGGTGATGAATGGCTTTCCCAAGACAACGATATCAGCAACAACGGCTATAGTAACGGCAATAGTTGCATTAGTAATGGAAGCAGTAGCAGTATTCTAACAAGCACAACCTGTATAGGTAGTGGCATCAGTAACAATTTTAATCCCAGCGCCGAAGACGGCAGCCGAGACCTGACCCACAACCACTGCCACGACACGCACTTTACGCCCGACCTGTCATCAAACCAAACCGCCGACTTTTTCAACCATGTAGATGTGACACAATTCTCAACTTTCTTCCTTTCTGACACTGACCTGGATACCCAGCTGAACAACCACCAAGCCATTGATTTTGGCAGCCTCCTCAGCCCCCTCACCGACGGCATGCCGAACCTCCCCCTCGACTCGCCTTTTGCACTGGGAATGTATGAAGCTAACAATATAAATACCGCTGCTGCTATTAGCAATCCTAGTAGTTACCACAACTATGACCATGACTGCTGTAGCCCCAGCAGCGCCCAGTATGGCACTGGCATCTTGCCAATGCGCACCAATGCTGCTGCAACATCTCAGCGAAGTAGTGATCGACAAAACGCTCGTAGCAGCGGGAAATAGTGGACCTGGTGAGGGCAGCTTCCTGTCCAGCGCGGTGCAGCGCTCACGGGTGCTGCTGGATTACTGTTTCATAGTGCTGTCGTGCGGGCTGTGCAGCCGACGTATGTCGTCGACGCTGGTGATGTGCCAAGCTATGGACGAGCTGAGTGTGTCGTTGGGCATGGACACGCTGTGGACGGATGGATATTGCAACAATAACAGCAACAGCAGCAACACCGGCGGCGGGGGTAGCACTTCGTCGGCGTATGAGCAGGATAGATTGCCATTGATTAGCAATCTGGTGAAGGATGAGGTGCGGCTGCGTTTTGGGAGCTTTGCGGTGCGAGGGGTGGGTCGCCAGGTTCTGTTGAGAACACTGATGATGGGACGCCTGAAGGAGATGCAGCAGGCTATGGGGAGATTGTGCCAGGCGGTTGAAACGCTGGCGTCGTCGTGCCGGGCTGTATGTGCGCGCATGGCGGTTGAATTGGAAAGGAGAGTTTCGTCAAAACTGAATTCGTTTCGAGCGGCATCAATAGAGTAGGGGAAGTTTACATGCGTTAGATCAAGAAGTAAAAGCTGGATGTGTAACATATAAGGACAATTGAGAACACGAATGATGCAAAGGTAGATATCAAGACTAAGAATCAAAAATTGCTTGACTAATGGTAACTACATCCACTTGGATCAACTACCTTCAACCCGGGTAAATATCACAAGTGCATTTTGTAGAGGGTGGGGTCTATGATTTCAATGAGCAGCAAGACTGGCTGCAATTGCCTGCGCATCGACTTTGCCGGCACGGGTCAGAGGGAAAACATCGACACAAGCAATAATAGAGGGCACAGCTGGCTTGGGCAGGATTTGCAGTATGGCGTTCCTGACTGCATCTGGGGACAAGGTAGCCGGCCGAACCATAGCAACAAGGCTATCTCCTTTTTGAGACCTTGTGAGCGCGACAGCTTTGACATGTGGCAGCGCCTTGAGAATGCGAGTCTCGAGATCGTCCAGATCGAGCCGGAAGCCACGCAGCTTGAGCTGGCGGTCTCTCCGACCAAGGCAGACGACATGGCCATTGTGATCCCAGTAGCCGTAGTCGCCAGTGCGATACATGGTTTCGCCAAGGCCGGGACAGATAGAGTCTGGTACAAAGCGGGTGGCTGTGTGATCAGGCATGTTGGCATAGCCCAGAGCAATCTGCACTCCCGCGATGTGGATTTCGCCAACAGCACCTGGTGGGAGTAAGCAACCGTTGCGTCCTAGGATGTAAAGGCGCGACGTTGGATTAGGGTGGCCAATGGTGACGGGCTGGGTGGGGTAGAGCCGAGTTATAGTTGCGCCGCCCGTACCCTCGGTGGGACCGTACATGTTGTAGAGCTTGCGGCCGCAGGTTGCCCAATTGTTCACGACAGGATGGGAGACTTGCTCTCCGACCAAGTACACGGTATCGAGGTTGGCAAAATCCGCAGGCGATAGACAACAGGCGACTGAGGGTGTCATGATGGCACTATTGGCTCGGCGCAGGACATCAAAGGGATCAGCCGACATGGCTGGGTCGCGTAGGACGAGCGTGGCGCCATAGCAGAGGGCGGAGAATATCTCATGGATGCTTCCATCAAAGGCGGGCGACATGAATTGGGCGATTCGTACGCCCGGGTTTGCGTGAAGGCGTACCTCGACATTGGCCTGGAAGGCAACCAGGGCCTGGTGAGTGCAGATGACGCCTTTGGGACGGCCGGTGGAACCAGAGGTGAAGCAAAGGTACGCGGGAGCTAGCGGCCGGAGAGTACGCTTTCGGTTGATTTTGCATGTGTGTTCGTCCTCTCCGTCGCCGTCGGCCGCATGGTGGCGACCGGCTGGAACGACAGCAGGAAGCGATTCCTGGCAAACCAAGTGGGCACACCCGTCTGGCATCAACTGTCTCTGACGCTCATAACCAACAACAAAGACACGGCCGCCAGCCGTCTGGAACATATCACGACGAAGCTCGTGGGGGAGAGTAGCATCCAAGCTGCAGAACACCGCGTCGGCTTGCAATGCACCAAGCAAGCCCACGATCCATTCCAAACTCCCATCCGCATGCACACACACAACCTCACCAGCCTTGACCCCAGCCTCGCTCAGGGCCGTGGCGGTGCGAGCCGCGAGCCGGTGTAGCTCAGCGTATGTGATGCGTCGGTTACTGACTTCGACCGCCACAGCCTCAGCGTGGGTGCGCGCGGCCACGTCCAGCATTGATACAAGATCCTTGTGCATATGCGCAGCCCGTGTCGTCGCGCCTGATATGCAGTTTCCCAAGACTTGCAGCCGCATCTGCATGGGCACTGTCACCAACGCCGACTTGCATTCGTGCATTCGTGTAGAGTATGCAAGCCGCCCCAGTGCTGTAGCAAAGCACGTGGCCATGTCCTCAACTGCCGTTGCAGCGTATCGATCTGCATGGTAGACAACACGCAGACTCATTGTCGCCTCATCGAGCGCTAGGCTGAGCGGAATGCTACTCTCAAAGTCGTACTGCACGGGTCGGAGTGGCTGCACTTCCTCGCCAGCACTCGCCCTGTCTATGCCCCGTGTGACAGACAGGGCTGCCTCGAAGTCGCGATCCAAGCCATGCTCGGGTGCACTCCATTGATAGCAGGAGAGCTCCACCAATCCGTCGAAGACATTCTGTACAAACTCGTCCGTCATGATATCATCGTCAACGTTTGCATAGAACGCCAGTGAGTTGAGAATAGGGCCAATGACGGTGTCGATACCGTCGATGGGCAGGTTTCGCCCGCTCATAATGGTTCCAAATTTGACCTGACTTGCACCTGCATATGTGGCTTGCACAACCGCCCATGCTGCATGGAAGAAGGCCGCCACAGTGACGCCTAACTCCTTGGACCTTTCCCGCAGCGGCTCGCCTAAGTGCTCAAAATTGACGTTGATTTCGTTGCGCTTCTGTTTTTGGTTGATTGCCCATTTCGTTGCTGCTTTTGCTGCTTCTACTTGTCCCCTTGGTCTCTGCAAACCAGTCTCTGTAGCTGCCCCTGGATGCTGTTGTACACGATTTTGCCAATACCGAGTCGCCGCTTCGCTTTGTTCCTTACCCAATGCTTCAAGCTCTTTGGACGCCGTCAAGAAGGATTTTCCTGCACTAATTCCCACTTCTCCCGCTGCTACTCTCCGCACCTTGACCGCTAGACGTTCCATAGCAAACCCGTCCAATAGAGCGTGGTGAATGGAAAGTACAATGGTAGCTTCACTCTCTCGACGTCTGCCGCTGCTGCTCTTGCTCTCGACTTCTTTGTACACGACAGTCTTGAATACAAAAGTCGGCTCTATCTGTCCCTCTCTTCGCGCCAGTTCTTCTTCGTACGTTTTGCGATCAAATGTTACTACTTCGGTCCATGGGCACTCAAACTTGCGTTTGTACATGACATATTTCCCGTAGCCCACCTCTTCAAACCCAGTAGAGAACATTGGCTCCACAGCCAATACTCTCTTCCAGGCGTACGTTATGAAGGGCAGGTCTTCGAGGCTCCATGTCTCAAAATAGTGTATCGTACTTTGCCTGCTCTGAATAAAAGCTGCTTGCAGACTAGTTGTCGGGGTCGACTCTTCATTCGAGACTGGCGGTGGTTTGGTCCCTAATTGCTCTGATAGCAAAGCATCCTCTGCATTCTCGTCATCTCTAACACTAGGACAACCAGAAAGTGAACAAGATGGTGATTGTGACAAAGATGATATGGACGACCGTATTGTTGACGGTTGTGAGTATTCGGTCACGTCCACTGTTGCACTCGAAATAAGGTCGGGCTTGGCAGGCGCGTCGCCTTGGCATGAGCCATCATTTGGCAGCAACGCTTCGATAGAAGGTGACGTGAGTAGTGTGAATACTGTCGGAGGTTTGGAAACCATGAGCTTGCATGCATGTTGTACCTCGACTGCCGACAGTGAATGTCCTCCGAGCCCAATGAAGCATTTTGATGTATCGATGCTTTCCGTCGGTACACCTAAGGCCTTTGCAATCGATGAGAGAATGAAGGTGCGTTCTACTGATGTTTAATCAAACATTGTGAATAAATGACGCAGCGAAAGAGTACAGCCAATGGGCACGTAAAAAGCTAAGATGATGACGATTGGGTGCAGCTAGTGTGGCACTATACGTGATCGAGCTCAACAGAACAGGGAGCGACCCACAATCGATTCCAAAGAACTGATTAAAGAAGGTAGCTATCTGCGTCTGGAAGGAGTTTACAATATATATCTGCAGTCTAATCACGTGATACAACACCACACTACTGCGGGTGGTCACATACAGCGAAACATGCCGCGGTGGATCATGGCTATTATGCAGTGATCTCGCAATATGCTAGTCTATATTCGCGAGTATTTTACTACTAAAAGAAGATAAGCTCTTTGTATATTTCCTCGGTTATATTCCTGATAACTATTTATGCAACGGCTTTAAGCATAATGGAACAGCTTTTGAGTACCTTAAAGAGTATTCAATGGCATACAACTCTAAATCAGAGAACGACGAAGGCCCACAAAAAGGGTTCTAGCAGAAGAGTGGAAGAATAGCTATCGAAAAGTATTATGTAGGAGGGACGTTTTGGCATAAAAAACTGGCAAGTTCGGCATTTGTTACTTCGACAGGGACCCCTGAATGTTCCATCGTGATTGGAAAGCCGCATTAGTGTGGGATGAGTGCACGAAAGAGGTGTGATTGGCTTATGCAGGGGTAGCGCAGTGACTTTTCTGTAGGATTCAAGAAATCTTCTACTACAATGCCAAGGAATCCTTCAGGTCGAGACTCTCTCCCTCTAACCTAAAAGGCAACACCCAAAGATATGAAAGCCCGGTTTAGTATCTTGTCCAAATCCTTCCGATGCACTGATTGGAGGAAGGAGTCTTTTCAAGTTTCGGTGCCGCAAAAGCGTGCTATTTATTCTTTACTCGGACTCCTGAACCTATTTCGGAGACAAAAACACTGTATATCCAGCCACTTCGGATAGCCCGTACAAGCCAATATAAACCACTAAATAGTAATTGGTTCATACCTTCTACTCTACTTGTGCAGCATCCTGTACATGATGGATCAAATGGACCAGTGGGATAACGCCTTCGCTCGCTATCGGACACCTGCCTCCACCACCGTTCCAGGGCGCGACACATCTTCGGGGACCGACAGTCCTGTTAAGGACGTCTAGTATTGCTTTGTTCATTGGAATAAAAGAGCTCGGTTGAATACATGGAATTATTTCTCGCATTGGTTAGCCTGTTCATTTGGCTGACATATCTAGTCTTGAAGTTCCTAGGCCATATGAGCATCAGACAATTACAGCGCAAGAAAGAGTCTTCGTAAGCCTTGATTGTCCTTTTGATATCAGCATGGCGAAGCGGCTAGCCAAGCACACAAATTCAAAGTTACTCAAAGTGCCCGAATTCTACGTTCTGGAAACTGATATCATTCACGTGGGCATGGTCAGAGTGCCAAACTTCACTGACACTCACATGCCCTGAGAACATTTCCAGCTTACTGCACACGTTTCGCAACATCTTCAGAGAAATTTTATTTGCTTTCTCATCCAAAAATAATCGATCCTCTCTATGATTTGTTCGACCAAGCTTTAGGGATAAGGTCAAATGCACAATGCCACGAGTTCCTGAATGGGTAGATCTTGGTGATAGTCCACCCAGCACTGTCCGCTGATGCAATCCACTCGTCCCTTGTCCGCTCCACACTTTCCGCTGTCACCATCATATTCATGTCATCATAGCGGGACAACCTCGTACTCCTTGTCGTGTCCAGCATCTCCTCCAAGATGATCAGTCTGCTGTTCTCGCCTAGAACAATAGCCTTTTCGATGTTGCGTACAATGCGTCTTGCATCCTCATCGCGCCAATAATGTAGCGTCCACTCCATCGTATACACTTTGGAAGGTGGGATACCTCAGAGAAATCCCCGCCAATAAGGTTCTCCACCGGCACGTGCGCAGCTATATCGGCGAATTGGCCATCGGCCGAATGGAATAATGACTTCGCATACTCGATGACGTGCGGGAGATCGAAAATCCCGCCCTTGAGAGACTTGTGCGCACGCAAGAGCATGGCAATGAAGCCGCCACCTCCACCTCCAATATCGATAATCATCTCTTTCTCAACCTCGCTCTACGAATAACCGGCTAGAATACCCGGTGCTTGGGCTGCCGCACCAGCTCCGAGTGTGGTGTGCAGCTGTGGAACCCATCCTTGGCTGCGAAAGTACTCAAACATGCCGATATCAGTGTCATAGTTGATCTGAGCAGCCGACCGAACTGCGTCTTGGCGCAATGACGACAGAATTCCACGCGCTATGTCGGAGAATTGTGTTCCATACAGCGTGGCCCAGCAGTGCCATTGTGTCCAATGGTCCGGCAGCAAAAGCCTCGACGTGGCGTTGTTGGTGTATGGGATGATAAACTAGCTGCAATGCCACGATCGAAGCTTGGACTTGCTTGTGACATTAGTTTGGTTGCAACGTTAGTTACTTCTATCGTCGGCTTCCGACAACGGAAGAAGCTCGGTGACCGAGATTTACTATTCCCCAACACTGAGAATCATGTCCAACCATGTGTATCGAATTTTCAAGTAGAGATAACGTAGTTTACAAGCGAGTGACGCGTACAAGCGAGTGACGCACCCCACCAACTTTGCGCACCTCTCATCTCTTCACATACAATGGCTCGACACCAAATTACTCAATCACATTCAAAAGAAGCAGATATTCAGCTTGCTATCTCGTCTATTAATACCAAGC